AGTATGCGCAGTCCACCTTGGGACTCTCCTTGGGGTTGAACAGGGAGATGAAAGAGACATTTTGGGCGCTTTTGTACACAGTTGTGTCGGTGCTGTTAGCTGGCGGCAGGCCTTCGAAGTTGGTGAAGGCTTCTTTCCAGTAAGTCACTGCGGCCTCGCAGTCGGCGGTGGTTCCGTCTTGCACTGCGTAGGCGTAGGTACCATCTGGTGTAATTGTCTGTACAGACTCTGCCATCTTTTCCTGTTGCACAAGGCAGCACAAGGCACCCAACCGCTGGCTGTAGTGCCTCGAGAAAAGAGATGGGCTTGTTCCATCAGGTGTCGGTGCTATCTCAGGGTTTATATTATGCTCGTATTTCCAATTTCACTGCAAATGATGGCTTGCGTCTTGACGTGTACGTCCATGTACGTATACACATCTACGCATATATATGTATACCTGCTTGTATGTTCGGAAGTGCATTTTAGGGCTTGATTAGGTATCAAGGCAGAGCTACTCCAGAGTCGTTAATGCCAGACCTTACCTCCTTCATAGATTTGCAAACCTTCGACAGGTATGTTTTGTCTAGGGATTCTCCGTTATTAGCGCCGGTGCGACTGGCGGGGTTTACTGAATAAATTGGAAGTTGCCCCGAAGACTCTGTTTCTTTTTGGAGTCCGCTAAAGCCCGCAAGGCTCCGAACTTCGTTCATCTGTGAAGAGCAATCTACTCTTACTGCAAACGCACACCCGACAACGACATCCGCTAATCATTTTGCTCCGCGTTGCGTTCATGTGTGAGGAGCATTCTACTTTTACTGCAGCCGCACGCCCAACAAAGACACTCACCCATCATTTTGGTGTGTTATCCTGTGTATGGGAAAATCAGTTGGTGCTGCGGGTCATTAAGGGCTCACCTGCCGTGTTATTAGGTTCATCCCCGTTGGCCTTCACCAAGAGAACGCTGGCGGCCGCCAGCGAGAGAAGCCTGACAACACCCATTCTCGAAAGACACTGCGGAAATTACGATCTTTCTGTTTCTAGAACACTACTCAATTGAGGGTAAAGCCCAGGAATGGCGGCCAATTCCGGGGGGATGACGGTTGCTTGCCTGTGGGACCGGTTCGGCTGGGGTGGTCGCACCCTGTGGGCTTGCCAGTAGGCACTCACTGCTCTGCGCTCTGACGCAGGCGACGACATCATTACTCTTCTCTTTCTTCACTGAAATACAATCTTTGTGAGATGTGTTTGCATGCTTCCATATGAGAAAGTCGTACAGATCCATTGAAGCGTGTTCCCCATGAGGCTTGCGTTTTCCCGTCGGTGACCGACGATCCAGTGCGGTTCTGCGATGTGTAGCAGGAACCTGCCTG